CTTATTGCACGAAACCAAGAGATTTCTAGCAAAGAATTTTGAGATGAAAGATCTTGGTGATGCATCTTTTGTATTAGGAATTCAGATACACCGAGATCGTTCTCGGGGTATTCTTGGATTATCACAAAAGAGCTATATCGAAAAGGTACTTAAAAGATATGGCATGCAAAATTGTAAATCATGTGACACCCCTGTGGCTAAAGGAGACAAGTTCAGCTTAAGTCAGTGCCCTAAAAATGACTTGGAAAATAAAGAAATGCAGAAGATTCCTTATTCCTCAGCTATAGGGAGTCTGATGTATGCTCAGGTTTGTACGCGTCCGGATATAGCATACATTGTTGGGATGTTAGGGAGATATTTAAGTAACCCAGGAATGGATCATTGGAAAGTAGCCAAACGGGTCATGCGGTATTTACAGAGAACAAAAGACTACATACTCGCATACAGGAGATCGGATCAGTTGGAGATCATCGGTTATTCTGATTTCGATTTTGCAGGATGCCAAGATAGTAAGAGATCCACTTCAAGCTATATTTACTTGCTTTCTGGAGATGCTATTTCATGGAAGAGTGCTAAGCAGACACTCATAGCTACTTCCACTAATGCAGCAGAGTTTATAGCGTGTTATGAGGCATCAAATCATGGAATATGGCTGCGTAATTTTGTCACTGGGCTGCGCATTGTGGACAACATAGAAAAATCACTTAAGATATTTTGTGACAATAAATCAGCAGTGCTGTATTCTAATAACAACAGGAGCTAGACGAAGTCAAAACATATAGAGATCAAGTTCCTGGCTGTTAAAGAAAGAGTTCAGCGTGGACAGGTGTCAATAGAGCATATTAGGACAAATTCCATGGTTGCGGATCCGCTTACTAAGGAATTGATACCCAAGGTCTTTCATGAGCACACTGCTCATATGGGTGTAATGTCTCTTGAGGATATCTAGTTTCAGTGGGAGTTTGTATTTTTGCTTTTCATATTGGACACATGTACTGTTATTTTGGATACCGTTTAAAGTTAAAGTTATTTTCAGTTATAAAGTTATTTGGTTTATTATCTCTGAACTTGTTTAAAATGATTTCACTAAGGTATTAAGGTGGATCAGTTGGAAATAGGC